TGAACGCAATAAATTTTCATCTTCCTCAACTTCATCCGAAATCGAAATCGAACTGCGCAATGTGTTGTTTATGTGCTCTTATAATTTATAAACATTTTATTTTCTTCTGTATGTATATTATTTTTTTTTTGTTTTTTTTTTTGTGGATTCGATGATTATTATTTTTATTTTTGATTTTTAATTAATTTATTTTTGTCGATTTTATTAATGTTCAATTTATCTTTGTTTGTTGGATGGTGTTGTTGTTGTTGTAGTTGTTGCTGTAGTTGCTGGGTTGTTTACAACAAATTGTCTGACTGACAAGAAATTTAGTGGTTACGCAGCAACAGACATAAAGACGAGCCCGAACTTTTCTGTCTGATCTCTGGAACTTCTTTAGTTCATTGCAGTACAGCACAGCACAATATAGTATAGCAAAACAGAGTTCAGCAGTACAATTCAGCAGTTAGTTTTGTTTACAATATTTTTAATTGAAAATAAAAACTGTTTTTATTTATTGCAGTTTTTCTTCTCATTTAATTATTGAAAGCTAAAATAACACAAAGGCCGTAAAAAGATTATATGGCAGCCCTTCTCAGTTGGGCTGTTGACGTCTATGAAAATTGCTGCATTGCTGCTTATGCATTGTACATTATGGAAGTAATTTCCTTAATGTACACACATTAACTATTCACTATACTTTTTAGTCTGCATAAATATTTGAAATAGTTTAAGAGAATTTTTAACGTTTGTATAAAATACGGCCTTCATTAAATCAACTTAACTAAGGCATTAATCATACGAGTAGGAAAGTAGCAAAGTAGCAGAGCGTGTGCACTTAATATCTCCAGAGCTTTTGTATCTTTTCATAATGAGCGTGGTTTAATGTAAAGTTTAGTATAGCATGCTGTATTATAAAAAGATTTGATATTTAAAATTATGTTACTCGTATAAATCCATACAGCTTACAGCATATTAATACTTGACTTATTTGACATAAAATATAAGGCAATGAATTAGAAATTTTTCTAAGCACAACTAAGTAAGTTAAACATAAATATCGATTTTTCACGCCTTCTCAAACGTTCATTTCATTACTTAATGCTATTCAAATAATAATGAAATCGAAGCTATTTAGTAGGTATTTAGGCACACGTTTTAAACTTGATTAATTACTCAGAGCCTGTCTTCAGAAATTTAGTGTGCTTAATGCACACTAAATTGTTACTACAACTACCAACGAAAGAGCGAATGGCAAACAGAGTTGATTATATGCTCTGATTTATCTTGCACTGTGTCGGAGCCTTAATTCGGCTAATGTTAATTCGGTAAGGCGAAAAATCGTCTTCAAATATCCACGATTTCGTTCGTTAATAAACACATTGCGCCAAGTAAGTGTTTAGCGTTGTTGCTTTTAGCGTGTGAGTGTGTTTGTGTGTGAATTGTTTTGCTACGGAACCATAACCTACCACAATGCAAAAAATAAAAGAAGAAAAGCAGAAAAAGAGCAAAACATATTTTTTGCTCTTTGTAAGGCAATGGCTCTTTGCTAACTGCGCTGCCAACAAAACAGCATCACACAATATGTTTCCGTCGCTGCTGGTGCTCGCTGGTTGTTTCTGCTATACCCGCTGCGCTGTCGACTGCTGTCTAATGCTGCCTGCTGCTGTTTATTGTTCACTATTCACCGTTCACTGTTCACTGTTCACTTGCTCATTGCTAAGTGCAGTCAGTCTGGCTTTATGTTTGGGTGCATGTGTGTACATGCGTAATTGCGTACCTCACACAATTAGACACAAATTGTATCTTGACATGTATTTTCACACCTTTCACACACATTTTTTTTTTCGCTAGAGCTGTTAAAATAAAAAAATCTTTTTTGTTTTTTTTTTTCTTTAAAAAAATATTGTAAAATTTTCATTGAAAAGATTTTGTATCTCGTGATGATTGCAAATGCCAATTGTGGCACATCGCATCGAAGTATTAAAATTATTTTTGTATATCTTTTAGTTTTATTACTTCAATCCTATCTTTGTGCCATTATTTTACACCTTTTTTTCTCGGTTTTATTGGCTTAAAATTCTGTTATGGATTTATTTTTGTTTTCTTTTTGTATTTATGTTTTTTGTAACTTTTTAAAATTTACGATTTCGATATTTAAGTACAAATATGTATATTAATAATATACAATAAATATAAACTCATAAATAAGTATGTAGATATATATACATATATATCTATAAGAAGAAGTATAACTTAATGTGTTTCTTATGGGATTTTATAACATTTACCATTTCACGTCTTCGACCGTCCTTCCCTTCACATCTTTGTCTTTACATATATATCCGTCGATACGTATATGTCTGTATTGTTATAATTTTTGTTTTGTTTTGTTTTTTATACATATATAATTTATTGTACTTTTGTTTTGTATCTTTTGCCGCTTGGTAACATAAATGTTTGGCGTACATTTGTTTGGTATCTTTTTTTTTCCTTTACGTATATTTAATTCTTTTCACTTTTTTTTTATTATTTTTTATTCATTTTATTTTTTTTTGTATATTGTATTTATATGATCGTAATAAAGTTTCAACATTTTTCATCATTAAAATAAAATATAAAGCCGAAATTATATTTTATCGTCTTGGCATTATTCTTTCCTTAAAACATACAAAATTATATGAAAGGCAGAAAGATGTACGCAAAGAAGGAACCAACCACACCGAAATCAACAGCAACAACAACAACAACAAGAACAGAAACACCATCAACAGCATCAGCAGCAGATACTTTAATACAATAATAATAATAATAATAACAACTACAAGATATATGGGAAACACAAGAAACCGCACTTTAAATGAGTCAAAAAAAGAAAAAAAGAAAAAACCCAAAAACAACAACACACAAAACAAAAACAAAAACAAAAACAATAACAAAATTGAAGGCAAGAAAAAACAATTTTATAAGAATAAATAAAAGGAAATATTCTTTAATTTGGTTGAAAATAAAATATAAAATAAATATTTCAAGAAAATTTTCTCGTTGTTGTTGTAGTAATTTATAATATTCCTTAACGATGTGCAAAGGGCAAAGCACAGTGACACAAAACGCTTAAAGCAACCAATAAAATGTTCAATTAGATCGGCGGACAAGTAATCGATATCGAGTATCGATAAACAGGAATGATAATTAAGATATTTATTTTTATTTTTTTTTTCGATGTGTTTTTTTTTTCGATTATGCATCGACATTCAAACAAGGACGATTAATTAGATTAAATATTTATTTTCAAAATATATATTTATCTGTCTATTTATAATTATCAATGGACAATTTATACATTTTATGAATAGGTAAATAGTTTAAATATAGTTACCAGGACGACATAACATACCTTATGATATGAAATCCTTAAGTTGATACGATTGCTTACCGTCACAGGTCGATAGATAACTTTTCATTGACCGTAGAACTACATTTATCACGTTGAATTTAAATAATTTAATACATCTTTTATTCTTGAACCAATGAACAGTCCAACAAGTTGTCAGAAAAGTACTTTCCTGTAAACCTACTTCTTCTGGAGGCAAAAATGCTTCACAGTTTCCTTCCCCAATAAATTTCCAGAATTTCTGCTAGAGTTGCTATACATCAGCGACCAAAAAGAACTGCATTAGGCCCTGCAGTATTTATCTGATCCCTTTAAATGAATTCCCAAGATCTGGTCTTGTTATATGAGAGTCATATTAACCGGAAAGTTACACATGAATCTATGAATATTTTGAATAACATAACGGCTAATATTTTTTTTAATTATCATTGAAAATGACATTAGTGTTCAGTACTGTGTAGCAAAGCACTATAAGAAAGATACTTACTTGAACAACGTATAGAAACTATTGTATACTTTTACACATAGAATAAATTTATTCGGACTGCATACCGTGTTATTTATTACTTAATTACTTACTTAATGTGTCATTGTCGAACTTGGCAGC